CATTGTACAGTGGCATTAACTGCCGAAATGTGCACCTCTGCCTACCCCTTCGGGGATAAAAAGGCGTGATGTTATGATGTTATTATGATATCATATTATCATCAAATGATTGCAAGCACAAGCATTTGGCGACCCACTCAGTATGATAATGTAATTTGTTTATTTAATCTTAAACAGAGAATCTAACCTTTTTATTTCTCATGTAGTTGCTCGTTCAATTGGTGTAGCGGGTGGCGTAGCGTATGCAAGAGTGATAACGCCACCAGACTGGGTAATTGATTACTGGCATCCTCTAGAGAAGGCTCACTTTCCTGAATACTTCAGAAGACGCGAAGCACGTAAATGTGAATACATACAAAAATGGCATCAAGGCCAGTTATATTAATTTTGACATGGTTAATAATGATTGTAAATCGATATTTATATTCTTTATATTCATGTCATATTATTTATTCTGGTGTTAATTTATTATTACTATTGATTTTGTTTCTATAGATTATTGACATTAGGTACATTGATTTTAACCGAAAACGGAACGTGCACTGTGCATGGCTGTTAAACGTCAAAAAGTTTTAGGTTATATTTTGAAAAGTTATTGCTTCTTTAAAGTGGATGCTATCTATATAAATAAAACACTATTAATTATAATTGTGTTTTATATGAGTACAATTTAATAAATAAGTAAGCTTATAAGATCTATATTATGGCTGAAGAGGCACCGAAAGTGGCTAAACAGCCCATGACGGATGAGGAGAGACTGGCTCTCTGTCAGAAACTGGATAAAGAGTTGGATGACTTTATAGATAGCTTAGAAAAGAAAAGATACACAGAAGGATGGAGCGAAGACACATGGGAGGTGAGACTGACATTTTATCACAGGAGATTAAATTACAAATACTTTTATAAGATTGCCCGATGGCAGAGTAGTCGCAAGTGCGACTGCCGGGCAAGGGGCTCGGGTTCGATGCCCGGGTCGGGCAAACTATTACCGGGTTTTTAAAAATTCTGAGTATTAGCACGGAGTCTGGAATTGTTCCCGGTATATGGCAATCGGCATAACATAAATAGTGAAAAGTAGATGTTACATTGTACAGTGGGATTATCAGAGTGCCATAATGTGCACCTCTGATAAAAGGATTGATGTTATGTTATATTTTCATAAGAGTTTTCTTACACAATAATACCGTTTCCACAATTTACACAATACACAATTTTTTTATGCCTAATATCTTCCTAATAACTTCCTGCTCTTATCCTAGTCTTCTTAGGGTGGATTGTGTCCCCTAATTTGCTCCCTTTTTCCATTTTTCATCAAACATCACACTAGTTAGTATTTCTTAACAGTGTTAACACAATCTATCCTTGTTTTGTTTCATAGACTACTATCTTTTCCTCGTTTCACATCTAATTATGCTTTGTAATTCATTCTCATCAAAATGTGTAAGAAATGTATTGAATTTCCATATTAACTATTACTAATTAACCATATATTGAATTAAAGAAACTAGTAGAGCTTTTCTCAGTACAGTGGATTTCATTTACAACGACCTCGGTTGTAACAACTTTTTGGTTCTAGAGACGTCAGACCTACGTGATTACGTCCCTTGAATTTAAAGCATACTTTCTTACAAAACTCTTTCGGTAATAGCGACTTCGGATGTAGCGTCAATTTCGGGAATAGCAACTTGTTTTTATGAACTATTTATGACAGATTCCTAGAAAACCCTTGCGGATATTGAGACATAGTCGACAAAGGCACAAAGACTCATTCATAAAACTATTAAGCTTTCTTATCCTTTGTTTACAATCACAAATGGGGTCAAAAAAATGCCTTGTTTGTAGGGATGTATTGACTGCTTAGCACATGTACAAAGTTAAAGTTATGAATCAGTTTTATAGCAACTTCCAGTGAGTGAATGGTATTTCTTAAACTTGTAAATATGGCTCCTAGACGAATATTTTCTATTAAAGAATTACGAAAACGAAGTACACCTTACGCCTTACAGCATGCACAAAAAACTAAACTTCAACAGGGCTCCATAACAAGTTTTTTCAATAACACCCGTGTACAACATAATCAAATAAATGACAAGTAAATACATAATATGTACATGACTTTTTATTATTTCGGATATAGAGACCTCCGGATATAGCGACGACATTAAAGTGGTCCCTCTACCGTCGTTATAACCGAAATTCACTGTATATTTATATGAGTTAACTGTTATTTTTTCTTTTATAAGTACATACTTACACAATTTTATGATACATAACTTCACGCCTGTCCCCCTTGGGGGTCAGCAAAGACTATGGAATGCCAATTATTATGATTCCTACATACCTTCATGCATGCGGTTAAGGGCACTTTTTCAATTATTTTTTCTTTTATCTATGTTGAAATTATATTTACAGGAAGAAATGGACAAACATCCATTTTTCATGAAGTCCACCCCTGATGATGGTACCCTATCACCCCTGGCTGAAGGTCTAGCCAAGCTCAAGTATGACCCGGAGGAGAACACACCGGTGGAACTCGCTGCTAACTATAAGGAGGATGGCAACTTCAATTTCAAGCATAAAAACTATAGATTGGCTATATTAGGGTAAGTTAATTTTGTTTGAATGTGGCACATGTATCTAAAATGTACTGAAGAAACTATATTTAAATTACTAGGAATATTTTTGCCCCACTTTAATTAACAATAAAAACCCCCTAATAAATACATACTGTACATATATGTCCCTTTCATTTTTTGCCTATTAAAAAATAAAGATAATCTGTGTATACCCTGCTAGCCAGCTATTCACCATATTATTTTTTAACTGACTGATTAAGGTAATATCTTTTTGATTAAATGAAATGAGATAATTATTATTAAACAAGAATCTTACTTAAATACATGGTTTTCAGATACACGGAGGGCATCAAACAGAGATGCAATGATGCAGAAATTAATGCAAGCTTATACAACAACCGGGCGGCAAGTCATTGGCATCTAAAGAATTATAGATCAGCCTTGTTTGACAGTGAGAAAGCTCTTAGTTTCAACGCAAACCATACCAAGGCTCGCACCCGTGCCGCAAAGGCAGCTTTAGAAGTAACCAAATATGACACTTGCATAGAACATTGTCAAAAACTTTTAGAAGGAGAAACTAAAGACAAAGAAATAGTTGAATTATTAAACACAGCAAAAAAGAAGAAACAGCAACAGGAACGTGACCAAAGAAGGAAAGAGAGGAAAAACGAAAAGGACAGTGAACAAAAAGATCAAGTCATAAAGGCTATTATTCAACGAGGAATCAAAATATCAAAATGCGATGATGAAGATGACATCGATCTGTCTAAGTTGGAACCGAGTTTACCAGGAGCACAGGATGCAATAGTACGTATTGAAGACGGTGTATTGCGGTGGCCTATATTACTCTTGTATCCAGAATTTCAAATGACAGATTTTATTAGAGATTGTCCCGAAAATGTACAACTGTTAAGTCAGTTGGAACAGGTCTTCCCAGCGCCTTGGGATGAAGAGAATAAATACAGTTGTTCTAAAATCAATGTTTATTTCGAGGGTTATGATAAAATGCCTCATGTGATTGACCCTTCGAAGAATCTTGGTGACTTATTAGTAACGAAGTACTATGAATTGAAGGCTGGTACTCCAGCATTCTTTATTCTACCCCGTGGTAGTGTTGTTGAACGCAGGTTTTTGGAAAGTTACATTTAATTGTATTTTAACATTTTATTTTATTTAAGTTGAAATAAATTAAGTTTTGTATATTGAATGTTGAATCTGACTTTTATTGTGAATTAACTTTTTCGTTGCCAGTTAGTTCGCCTCCGTCCATAATTCGTCGGATTTTTATCACTTTTAATTTATCAATCAAATAACACTACTCGCAATAATATAGTGTTAGTAATGAAACAAAAGTGTTACAAATAAATATATTATTCGATGTCCTGTTCGTCCATGTCGTATCCTTGTTGGTGTGGGTAGAAGGGTCCGGGCGCCTCGAAGGCGTCCTTTTCTTCGCCCATAGCGGGGTACGGGTGGTGGGGCATTGCGCCCATCCATTGTGGGTACCAATACAGACCCTAAAAGTGGAAAATATTGGTTAAATGCATCTTGTGTCTGATCTACAACAATGCTATTACGTTGAATAACTGATTTATAGCTAAACTCTCTTATTAAATAAGACTTGTGACATACTGGAGACAATTGGGAGTTACACAACATAATATTATTATAAAGTTGTGTACCTTTGACATCGGGCGATACAAATAAGTAATTTGATTAAGATGATGATTATTAAGGGATTGTGATGATATGTAAGAGCTACGTGTATTTTTACTTTGTTCCCTCCAGCGGCGTTGCAAGTGAACCGGTCGTCGTGAAGGTCGATGGTGTCCAAGTAGCTCTTGCCCGCGATGGAACCGTAGTTCGGCGGGTACATGAACAAGCATCCGTCCAGGAGATCTGAATTGAGTAACATTCGTTTAGGTGGCTACGCCATGAGTCCCCGATACATAAAATTAAGGAGATTTTGGGGTTATTCTTAAGTAGTTGTGCCATTATCATTCACCAGATAAAACTAATCATTTTTAACGATTTACTAATATAACTATTTGACGAGGTAACTTGGACTAATTTCAAGCCATGCTAAGGGCCCATAGTCATGAGAAGCATGGATATACGACGCGCGCTCTCCGCTAGTCGAGTTACTTTGTTGATATGTCTTATGAGAGACTAAAAAAAAACTAAAATTTGAACTTACAAGGGACAGTAATGTTCTCCTCTTCGGGATTTCCTTCTGGCTTTGGTGTAGGCTCAATGTAGGGGGGCACTGGATCAATCCCGGTTCCCGGATCACCAGGAATTAGGAATGGTCCTGAAAACATAGTTGCGATGTAGTGAATGTTGGTTTTACCTACTTATTTGGTTTTGCTTGTGTATTTCCTTTTACTCCGCTAAAGAGGTCGGTTACACTACACGTAGGTACTTTTTTTTTTTTAAAGGGGGGAAAATCATCAAATGACTGCTCCCGCCTGGGTGAGGCGGGAGGGAGTGTCAAACTCTTACTTACTAAAAACCACCCCGTTCCTTCTCCTGCACGTCGAGCCGGAGCCCCGGTTACCCGTTAGGTTCTCCGCGACACACGTAGGTACTAGGTACAGGACTTTGAATGCTTAGGTGATTTGCTGCCTTACCTCCATAATGGTTGGTGTAATTCCATTCGCACACGTGGTGGTCGCAGATCAGAGGGGAGTGAGGCTCCTTTGTGTAGTAGGTGTGGCCGTTGGGTATAGTCTGCAAGGTAGATAAAATCCTTAATTATTCGTGATCAACGACCTTTTGTCCTTCACTGAATTATTTAGTAATCTAATAGAATCTTCAAGCACGAGTATACCTATACCTTACTTTAATCATCGACAGTACATCTATCGGTAGGTACCTACTCTTAATTTTCCTTTTCATTTTGATGAGGTGTTTCTTAGTTATCATAACTCTTAGGAGAAGCGTGGATGGAGACAAACATTAATAAGTCCTTACCAGCAAATAGTCATAGTGTCTGTACCGGACTCCTTGTATATTAAAGTCCAGAATAAAAGACCCTGACGTGATGATGCAGGAGGCAGCAGACAGCGGTGGCAGTTTATACATCTCTGTTCCACATTTGACTATAGCCTTCGGAAGAGCGGACACGTCTCGCACTCTTTGGAGGAGCTTGTTGAATGGGAACCTAGGAACAAATTCGGTGTATCTTTTTGTTTTTGTAACATCACGCTTTTATCCTCGAAGTGGTGGACAGAGTTGCACATTTCGGCACTTGATGCCACTGTACAATGTAACACCCATTTTTCACTATTTATGTTATGAGTCCCATGTAATAGGGGGTGACCCTGTTGCCATATACCGGGCACATTTCCAGACTCTGTGCTACTACTGAGATTTAAAAAAAACCCCAGTTATACTTTATCCGACCCGGGAATCGGACCCGAGACCCCTTGCCCGGCAGTCGCACTTGCGACCACAAAGCCAATGAGGCAGTCAAACAACATCTTTACGTCTTAAAATAAAGTTGAGTCGAGTGAAAAGAAGTTCAGGAAAAAAGTATGTGGATGAAGGTTTAAGTTTTTGGCTAGTAGGTACCTAAAGAGTTGCATACGAAACTTATCGGCCATAATATACACCATCATAATAAATATCTTCCATATATATTTGAAGATCGTGTAACACTTTATCATAATAAGTGTGGGAGAGCCATGCTTCGGCACGAATGGGCCGGCTCGACCGGAGTGATACCACGGCCTCAAAGAAAACCGACGTGAAGCAACGCTTGCGTTGTGTTTCTTCGTGTTAGTGAGGTTACTGAAGGCCTAATTAGCCTCCCCTTCCCCAATCTCCCCAATCCCTGAATCCCCAACGATCCTCAAACTCCCAATCCCCAAAAAGCCGGTAACGCACTTGTAACGCCTCTGGTGTTCCAGGTGTCCATGGGCGACGCCGATTGCTTACCATCAGGTGATCCGATCCGGTGATGCTCGTTTACCGGCTTATGCCATAAAAAAAATCAGCTTCGGATAAACAAGTTTTAGAAGTTCAACTAACCTGAACACACAAATACCCATATGGCACTCCAAACCATGCAAATAATTGTCAGTTGGAAAGGAGATGCTCGGATCGTCCAGTAAGTAGTACTTGGCCTCATCATGGAAGTGCAGGAAACCCAGGAAGACAAATGACCTGTCTTTGCAGTAGGGAGCAACGCCTCGACCCATGTTGTAAATGTCGCTGTACAACTCCGACATGAAGATGTACACGTTTTTGCCACAGTAGAATTCTATGGAATTACCGATAAAAGTAATATCAAATTTGGATAACCATGAAAAATGTTAAAAATGCGTCTTGTTTTTCTTTGGTTGAAAACATTGTCGGTAAAACATTTAAATTATTGCAATCAAGGAACTATATAAGGGATCAGAGTCTAGAATTGGTCCACTTAATTCAATATAAAGGAGAATTAAGTAGATTTCTTTAGTTTACAATCTTTACTTCCTCAATGGATTAGGTAAGTAAACCTAAATTTTATTTTTTATTTTAATGTCCGTCTGGTATAAAAAAATTAGACACGTATTTTTTATTTTCTTATAAAATTAAATAAGTAGGTACCTACTGTCGACGATTTGAAAAATCGTGTGACGTCACGATTTACTACATTTTTAATGGTAACGTGACGTAACGACCTCCGAGTCCTAAACTTAACTTCGTTATATCTAAGTATTGTTTTCTTATACGACAAAATAAAAAATATGTGTCTAATATTTTTTCATAATGTAACTGACGGACTAATTACATTTTTAATTTGCATACACTGTCTACTACCCTATTTCATTATAGGTATTACGATTCGCATTAAATAAAATATATCTCACCTTGGCTCATATAAAACTCCATAGGTACCGGGCCACCAGTGTAAGTAGCCTTGCGTTCAGCAGCCACAGAGTTGTGATTCTCATACATCGTTAGCATGTTGTCTATAACATCGTCTAATGTGATCAGTAGTACCTGTTCCGAAATTATTTATATTAATATTTTGCTAGCTTCTGCCAGCAATCCCTCGGGTTCTCGTGTAATAAAATGTGGCCTAAGTGTTTTTTCAGACCATAATCTACCCCAGTTTCAAATTTCATCTCCTTTCCTACAGCCGTTTTGACATGAAGAAGTAACGTACAAACTTTCGCATTTATAATTTCAGCTATAATCCCTCCCCAAAATATCAGCAATGCACTCTTCTGGTGTTGCGGTACCTGATGGTATGTTAGCAGTAGGTGACGCCTATTGCTTACCATCAAGTGACCAGCGTGCTTCTTTGCAGCTCTTTTCAAAATAATGTTCTTTCTGACGCAAGTCTTATGTTGTTGAAAGCTTACTTACCTTTAGTTCTTGTATGTGTAATTTCACAAAACGTCCCAAATGATCTGTTGCTATGTGCACTCTTTCATTGATTAAGTACTGGAAAATAAAATTTGAAGTACTTATCAATTTTCTGGACCATGGTACCAATAGTTTATAAGTTTTAATTATTGTTTTGCATATCTACATGCTGGTCCTTTCATTATTCAGTATTGTGTTGTCTTATAGGTGCTAAAATGAGAGAGCGTTGACTATCTCAAATCACTGTTTGCCAATCAGTTGTGCTTTCGTATAATAGGTAGCAAGGTGGCACCGCAGTTTTACACGAGGTGAACAGAGGTTCTGTTGAAGCCATTTGAACCGATCTGGAAGTCATTATTATGTTCAGCAGTTCGTCTTGTGGCTGGCATGATGATGTAGTTGTAATCTAACAGTAAAGAGTATTTACTGTTTTTATACCAGGTAGCTGGTATCCCTACAGTTTTACCTGATCCTCAGCAGTCTTCACCCTTAACATCTCATTCTGGTAGAGCCACAAGTTATCCAGCTTGTCTGTTGGATCATGTCCGTAGATTTCGAATGCGTCTATGATCATTGCCAGGGTGAGGTTCTCGTTTGGTTCGAGACAGCATGGGTGGTTTCTTATGTTGTATGGTAACTATGTTGACAAAAAGGATTTTTGTAATGAATTAAGCGGTGCTTAAGTAAAGAGTCCGAAAAATTCAATACCTTCAATCATTAATTAATCCAGTCATAATCAGTTTGAAAATTTTACTATTCCATCGATTGACACCCATCGTGGGACCTTACATTTGGTAGTTTGGCGTCACTGATTTGACATTTTTTATTTTTGCATTATTTGAATATCATTATTAATTTTCAAGATATTTGTCTCCATTATAAGGGATAATAATATTTTAATACAATACTTACAGTTATCTGAAGGAGACATAATAGAAACAGCACGCATGCGTGAATGCGCGCGTCCATTTTGCCAGCATGGCGTCTGATCGGTAGCGAGCGCGGGAATAATTACACAAATTGCCAATTTAATTGGTCACCTTATCACTCTTCTAACTTTCTAAGAAAAGTATTTTATGGTCTAGAAATAAAAGTAAACGTTATTATTTTTAATGACTGGCACGTAAGGCAATATAAAAAAACAATAGGACAAGTTACATGCGTCCTGACGACCAAAACATGCTTAAATAGAATTTTAGGGGATACGAACATAGGTTAATTTAGCACATGGGGATGCCGCAAGGGAATATATTGGGTCCAACCTCAAAAGAATTGAAATAAACAATACAAATATCGAATAACATTTTATATTATTTAAAATACACACCTAGAATTGTTCATTTCATCACAATACATATTATTAAGTATATTTATACAACATTATTGCACTTGGATACATTTCTAAATATTCATATGGATACAAGCGTGGATACGTAACCAAAACTAAACGGTTAGGCGTAAATTGAAGACAAGCGTCATTTTATTCATATAAGTTTTACCGCCGATATTTTGGAAGCCCAATTTCTTATGCTAGATATACAGATGGCTTGTTAGACCCTCTTAGATATTATGTTACAAAATTCTATCAGTTCCTTCAATGTCCGCGACTGTTAATATTTCTCGCAGACTTTCCAAAAGTTCTCTATTAGTGTTTATTGCCCACATTTGTTTTAATACTTTTTGGACTGACTAAGACGTTGATTTGCTAATCGCTTTCATTTCTATACTTTTATCAAGGTACGTTACATTTACACCTGTGTTTGCACGATCAGTAGTTGCTATTTCCTTATTATTGTCAATTATTTCTTTATTTTTTCCATAATTAGTATTTCCCTCGTCTATACCAATTTCACCTGTATACCTAATATAAAATTTCAAAACGTTGGTATCACAATAATCACATATTCTCACAATATCTTCATTTTAACGTAACTAACTAGTCTAATCAACATGTATAATTTAGTACAATACTCTATTAATATAATCAACAACAATTATATTTAGAAATGGAAGACTTAGTTCGGATATACTCGTCATAATATTATTATAAGCTTAGTATACTTCACCAGCATTATCTTAGTAAATAAATTGTATAAGTTTGTAAATAGATCTTTGAGTATCACTAAACATAATAAAAACTATAAAATTAACATTATTTTTGTATAAATTATAATATTCAACATGTTTATTTTAGTTTTCTGTTTGGAATTAATCAGGGCTAACTGCAACCTCAATAACTACTACCATTTAATATCTAAGATTAATGTAAATATTATCCAAATATGTTTTTGATATTCAAACGTTACAAGCAAATAAAGTCGCTTATTTGAAGCAACATTATCAATGGAAGACTTCGTTGTTACATCTTTCAAAAACATAATATATCATTGGAAGACATTGGATTAACAGTATATAATATCATATTTGTATAGTTAGCTAGACAATAATAACTATATACATAAAAATCTGGAGTAAACGAAGTAGCGAAGGCAAAAGGCGATCGTTCTCTTAAACATTATTGTCTCTATACGAAGAAACTAAGACCCTCTAACAAAATCTATTTTTTGTCCATATAGGTATTAAACAGACCTATAATATAAAACTTATCAATACATCTGTCTAAGTACATAAATCATGCATTCAACATTCAACTGCATAGTTATTGCGACAAAGAATAATTTACCATGTACGCATAAATCTAAAAATAGTTCAACAATGAGTCTAATTATGGGAAATTAGAACGGCAAACCTATTTTGAAGGCTTTGATTAGAGCCGAGCCAGAGTCGTACATACCGATGACTCCAAAGAGCACCCCGAGAGCAATGATAAAGTAGTCGTACGCAATCCTTGTACTTTCAAGTGTATTGCCCTTCAGTTTGAGGTGGAAGTACGCTGGCCAAATGAAGCTCAACATGGTTCCTGTGAAGCTACCGATAAAACCCATCAAAATAGCGAAATGGGGAATAAATATTGCCATCAAAATTGTGAACATTATCACACCCAGTCTCCAAGCAAGTCCCCACACTTTTAGCTCGCCGTCTAAAGCGTAAATTACAGGAAAAATTGTTTTAGGTTTGCCTCTGAATAGAGCACGCTCCAGCAAATCACAGGCCGCGTAGTATGGCAGAGGGTAACTCAGTACTGCCTTGATTACAAGGAAAAAGTTTACAAGACCTTTGAACCCAGCAGAGCGAAGATTATTTGTGATCACTTGCTGGGTATCGTTTTGGAAAGTCAAAAAGCACAAGTATCCAAAAATAGACTTGAATGCAGCAGCGGCGATGTGCGACCAATCCAACATCCACTCAAATTTCGATCGATCCTCCATGTTCCCTTCTAAGGTGGGCAGAAATATCTGCGAAGTGTATGAGAAAACAATGACACCCAGACTGATCGGAAAGTTTTCAAAATCCAAAGTCCATTTTACTTTACCCCAGCCCCAGTCACCGATGTTAAGAATACAGTAACCCAGAACAATGGCGTTAATGATCAAGTGACTCATGGTGCACCAGAATGACAGCATACTGACGCTTTTCAAAGACTTCAAGAAAGCTAATGGCAGAAGGAATATTCCTGTTAACATCATCCAGGAGCGAGCGTCAATAGCGCCGTCAGGAAAAGTTCCTATCATGAGATCGCCGCAAACAACGACATACAGAATACATGTCATCACAAGCTCAATAATTTGAGCGATATTTACAATTCTAGCGCCATATTTTCTGCCGAAGCATTCTTTAGCGATGCTGACGTAGGAGTCACGGACTCTGACACGTTGGCCGGATACAGGGTCGTCTTCATAGAGGCATTCGACGAGGATCTTACCGGTGTAGCAGCAAATGTGGGCTATGCCGATCATGGCAGCGATCGCCCAGTAACCACCTTGGAGCACAGCGAACGGCAGGGATACTACGAACATACCCTGGAACCAGGATAGAAAGAGTTAGTTATAAAACATAGGCTTGACATAAAGTTATTAAATAGATAACTGTGCTGGAAAAACAAATATCTTTACCAACTTACCTGAATAGCGTTGGTAACATTCCAAGCTGCTTGATATTCATTGATCTTCGCGCCTGGTGGGCCACCGCCTTCCTCGAAACCACCTTCTTCAGATGACGCGTAGAAATCTACGCTTTGCATACTTTGAGTCCTGAAAACATGAATCAATACTTCCAAATTGCTCTACATCTTATGTCCATTTGTATAGAGTTCACTTTACCAATAAATTACCTTGGAGCCCCGTCTTGCTGGGGATAAGTGTTCTGATAGCTGGTGAAAGAGTCCTCAGCCTGCAGCGCTCCACTCAGGAAAGGGTTCGTAGGGTTTGTTGACTGGTACGTCGGTGATGTGGTTTCATTCATTGTTGAAAGTTCGCAGCTTTCACCCATGTTGTCTGGAAATTAGTTGAATAAGATGTAAGAGACTATGACGTGGGTGATGACACTGATTATGTCTTTGATCTTGATCTCTTTACTCGTATGAACTTTAGAAGTATTCATTAATTACCATTATATTGATTAACCTACCTACTAAACTAAAGTTTCGAGAGACTTACCTAAATTCGCGAACCTGACGTTTTGCGGAGGACGCGGTGGAGCACCTGGCTTCTCAGGCATCTGCTGCCTGACCGTCTGCATCGTCACGTCCAGCACATTCCTCAACGGAGGCAACTTGAACTTCCCTAGATTTATCATCTTGAAGTTTTCTTACACCCACTTCTTCAGTATAAACCTTCGATTTCTTTATTACCTTATCTAATTTATTGTCGATTTTATCAATCGAATTATTTTTCAAATTGACATCAACGGGAAGACATTGATTTTTAAATATATTGCCTTTTTATATAAGTATAATAATATATTTTCACTTACAATACCACGAGCTAATATATTTTAATCCTTAACACTATATTGGAAGACTTCTTTACACTACTCTAAGTTAAATGTTATTACATTGATATTAATGTTGTAACGTGCCTTTGATCTTCGGAGCAGCCATTTTTTCCTTGCTTTACGTTGTTTTATACATTGTATTTGCCGTGAATTGTAACTATTGTGTAGTTTTCACTGATATGTTGCACTGGGTTCGCGTTTTGATGTTTCACGTTTGATTTTTGTGAGGTATTATCATTTTTGAATATGGTTTTCTTGGATATAATGGCTGCTCGGCACGGAGGGTCGTACTGTGGAGTGGTCAGATTCCCTCGGCGCAGGGAAGGTGCGCGGTACGCGGATCGATACATCGACTACACGCCAACATTGCTCACAGGAAGGAATGTTAATTCCTCCTGAACCTTTCGCTGCCAATGTTTTACCTGCCAATAAATGTTTGCTTACTATTTGATTTACGTTTAAGCGGACTTAGTAAAACACTACTTTAGTAACGATTGATTTTAAGCTCTATGTCTGTTAGAGTAGAAATTATATTGACTTAATTTACATCTTTATGTACCTATATTAAACTAAACTTGAACATAATATGAAATAACATTACGCCTGTTATTTCCCAAAGGAGTGTGTAGAGGCGTTTTCTACGCCTATTTTTTTGTCGATTACAATAAATTAGTTCTATCTTAAATAGCGTATCTGTTATCAATTTCCCTGTTCATGAATCGAACCCGAAACTTTAGCCCTTTAACCAACAAGACATTTATAACATAAACGCTTTATTTCATACAAAAGATAAATAACCATTCGTTAGTAAAATATAACTGTAGCAATGAAGCAAATTGATTGGCAATTATGATTAACAATTGGCAGTTAATTCCTTTGGTGTATGAGTTGCTACGTGCTACAGTCGGCGTGATGGCCCGTCCTAGTCGAGTGTTACTGCCACTGGTTGTGTATCTAACATGGTCTGTTACGGTCACCGTAAGTACTTCCTTAAATATACAGACACTTTTACAACAGTGTAAGCCTGTAAGGTATTATATAAAGTATAAATTATATAGAGGTAAGGTATACGGTCGATTTGACGAGAGAATTTACATAGTAAGTAAGAATAGCCATCTGAGTCGCTCATACCTAAAGTTAATGTGTTAATAATTGAGAATTTGTCTTGATAGTTACCTTTTACATAGGCATCTAATGTGGAACAGTTGTAATAAAGCAAATGTTTCAGATTATGAAAATTTCAGAGTTCTCTTTCGCTCGACTAATTTTGCATCTCCTGTTTTGTGAGGTATCTTTTTTTTATGGCATAAGCCGGTAAATGAGCAGACGGATCACCTGATGGTAAGCAATCGGCGTCGCCCATGGACACCTGGAACACCAGAGCCGTTACAAGTGCGTTACCGGTCTTTTGGGGATTAAGAGTTTGAGGATCGTTGGGGATTCAGGAATTGGGGAGATTGGGGAAGGGGACAGTAATTGGGTCTCCGGTAACCTCACTCACTAGACAAAACACAACGCAAGCGTTGTTTCACGTCGGTTTTCTGTGAGTCCGTGGTATCACTCTGGTCGAGCCGGCCCATTCCTGCCGAAGCATGGCTCTCCCACACTTAAAATCTACCTATAACAGCTGATATTATGACACCGATACTTCCGAAGAAACTCTATTATGTTGTAATAATATACTAATGCTTTCATCGTCATCAATCAGCCATCACCAGTGGCCATTAGCGTCCCCAATAAGTACTAACGTTTAAAGAGGACGCCTGTTATTATTCACTGCTGGACATCCACTGCACTCAGTAATGCTGACGACGCTCAATCGTTAAGTTTACTTACTCTAAAATTAATCTTCTCCCAATTTTAGCACTCCTACATTATATCGAACCACCCATGTTGTCGCGAGCCCAGCGAGAATCTCACCCTTGCTATGGTGATAGACGCCTACGAGATCTACGGCCACGACCCTACAGACAAATTGGACCACTTGGCCCACTACCAGCTAGAAATGATGAAGATCAAACGTGCCCCTGACCAGGTAATGTGCGTTGTGTTGGGAAGGACTAAGGTTGTTTTTGCATTGGAGCGTCGATCCTCCTGATGACCAGTAAGATCATCTACTGTGACACTTAGTAGGGTAGTGTTTGATTCGGTATCTATAGCGGTGGTGTCAGGGTTTATATACTCAAGTGGTAATCAGATGAACAATGGGATTCAAAATGTATGTACCATAAGAAAATCAGGCTTACCTACATAGGTACAAATATAACATCTACCCTTGCTAGACTTCCTCATTGGCTCATAAGTTATCGGATATTAAAAAGTTAATATCTTGGCAGTTTGCCATTTTCTATAGCCCAGATGTTCTGTGAGAATCATATTGTATTAATATAGAATAGTTACAGAGAAACTTACTATACGTATCAATAAAATTTATTATTGGAATCGCTTTACAAGATGGAGACAAAATAAATAAGTTTACTAATAGGCCAAATGATACGGAATCCTTGAAGGGCAGGGTTTTTGCTCTTTGTAGTCTGTTAGGTTATTCTGTAACTTCTAATTCGAAAGATTGTAGTGAACTTGATCACGGTCCGCCATTATCATTGGTTGTGACTGTTGTGAGATGATTCTCGACCAATGAGGGGCGAGAATGCGTTCGAGTCCAGTTCGAATTGGCAGTTATAGAATAACTTAGCTGGTCTTAGCTTTGTGCTAATCCCAACATGATGAATGTTTATTTTAATATAATTTCAGTACGTAATTAACGAGCATATCCACATAGCGACCGACCATTTGGCACGGTTCATTCACATGCATCTGAAGGAATTAAAGGTGTGTATGCTGATTATACGGTCCTGCATAAATTTAATTGACCTTTACTGACATAGTAGGTATTGTCTATGAAAAATGTTTTCCAGGTATTGTTGATAGCACTGGATGATACGATAGACAATATGCTAACGATGTATGACAATCATAATGCTATCAAAACCGAGAGGGTTGCTACTTATAACTCGGCGGCCGGCGGTGCCGTGCCTTCTGAGTTTTATATGAGTCAAGGTAAGATTGTACTTATCATTTACCTTGAACATAATAATAAAGAATGTGTAATTTATTTTGGTGGTAATTGCGATAGGGGTTAGCATTTCCAAGCCAATGGTCTAGAATTCGAAACCTATGTCGATAAGTATAATTTAAGAAAGATCTAGAGCCCCCAAGCTAAACACCAAAATAAACACTATCAGTTTCAAAATAACCGTCGAGGAGTTAAAACGTTCTTTTGCTAAGTGGTGACGAGTACCTGAGTCCTAGATTGCACAACTAGAGGCAATGTGCGATACATAAGTAATCGTTGCGCGACAGACTTACAACCATGATGTCCCAATAAAATAGAAAGAATGAAGAATGAAAGAAAAATAATTTATTCGCCACCAGGCATGGACCACCAAATATACTTATACACATAAAATAGCATTAAAAAACATAAAATAACATTAAAAAAAACAGCAGTAAAAAAAAACAAAAGCAAAATAGAAGAGCGATAGGGTTGGCAGCATGCCCACGACGAAAGGGCTCGCCAACTCAGTTTAAACTGGGCACAGTAAGTACCCAACACCGGTTTTCAGTTGGCACCCCTGCAGTGAGTGACGCTCTAATACGAAATAAGGGCTCTTACAGTATTTCAATCGGAATTATTAATTGTAAGCGGGGAAATGACCACCTAGTTTAAACAAAAGACTTCTTTTAGAATTCTACTGCGGCAAGAACGTGTATATCTTCATATCTGAGATGTATAGCGACATATACAATATGGGCCGGGGCCCCACACCGTATTGCAAGGGACGGGCCTTCCACTTCATGGGCTTCGTGCACTTTATGGACGACAAACGATACTTCTTGGAAGAAGATCCTAATGTCATCTTCAGTATGGATAACTTTGTTCATGGGTTGGAGTGCAATATTGGGATTTGTATGTTCAGGTAGCTATTGCAATATTTGTTCTTGTATTTTATGTACATACATTGTTCGGGTACATCGGATGGGAAAATTTTGGGGTTGGTGTTATAGGTACCTCCTTTGTATAATGAGTGCCCGGTTGGCGCGGTGGCTGGGCAGCTGGGTGCCGCGCAATATGTCGCGGGTTCAATTCCCGCACAGAACAATTATTTGTGTGATCCCTAGATTGTTGTTCCGGGTCTGGATGTTATGTGTATGTGAACTTGTATGTTTGTAAACGCACCCACGACACAGGAGAAAATCATAAGGTGGGGCAACGTTTTTTTTTAAAAAATGTGTAGCAGACTCTCCTACCTATCCCTTCGTTGATTAAAAAGGATGAGGCACTAGGTTATATTTATTACTTGGTTCCAAATTAAATCTAAAGACAAATTAAAACCAAGGAACATATTTTTAGATTTCCATTCAAAAAGAACTTGCAACACGTTCGCGACGTGTCCACTCTACCGAAGGCTATCGTCAAGTGTGGTACGGAGATGTACAAACTGCCGCCTCTGACCGCTGCCTCGTGTTTGATCACTTCTGGGTCTTTCTTGCTCGACTTCAACATACAGGGTGTTCGGTTTAGACATCATGATTATTTGCTGGTGAGTTTAATGCCCATTTTTATCAATCTCTCTTAAATTAAGGAACCACTGAGCTAAGTTGGGTGACACCTTATAACATTTTGGTTTTCACCAACCTATGTATAAGTGACACCTAACATTACAGGTAGGGGGTTAGTTTAAGTGCTTCCTCACGCTAAGTAACTAGTTAAGATATGATTTAGGAGTGGTTAGTGAAAACGGCGATGAGACTTTCTTGTTATAGGGCAGGTATTAGTTATTGAACAGAGATCGGGCAGCAGCGCACTCTGATAAATCTGATCCTTTCAAACTTCGACCTTCAGGCTATTACGGAGCCGCGGAAGGCCTAACGGGTTGCCGGGGCTCCGGCTCGAAGAGCAGAAGTAGGAACGGGGTGGTTTTTAGTCAGTAAGAGTCTGACAGTCCCTCTCGCCAACCCAAGGCGGGAGAAGTCAAGGCTATAAAACATCACGCTACAATTAATAAGTGCCGAGCAGAGCGGGTGAAACCGCGCGGTTCGGATGTAGCTAGATGTGATTATATTTTAAAAACATGATTTTTATATCCCCGTACATAGTTAATACTGGTTACAGTTGATGCCCAACGGACACACGTACTACACAAAAGAGAAGTACTCTCCATTGTTCTGTGACCATCACGTCTGTGAGTGGAACTTTACCAACTTTTACGGTGGTAAGT